GTGTGTGTGTGTGTGTGTGTGTGTGTGTGTGTGTGTGTGTGTGTGTGCTGTTAAGCCAGCTGCATCTTGTGCAGAGTCTAATGCCATGAACAAGAAGCAGCAAAAAAGCTATAGAGAGTGGATGCAGGAGGCAGACAGGGATGGTGGTTTAGTAGAAGCTATTTCAAGCTAATCAAAGTTATTCCGTGTTATACTACAGAGGAAGCCAATCTGACAGGTTGGAGACACAGCCAGGCGAGCAAGCAGCAGCCAGGAGTGATGTCTCATGAGTGCATGAGACACAGGTAGCCAGGTACAGGATGACAAACACACACGGTGACATACTGCCGTGCAGACAGGGTAAAAGACAGGCAGAAAGTGAGACATAATTACAGAAGCTATTAGACATGATGCAGGTGACTGGGGCAGTACTGTAGCTTGTGTTAATGTGCTGTGGAGAAGCTACACGAGTCAGCTTGATAACTTAAAATTGCTGCACCAAAATTAGATGAACTACTCAGCTGTCGCCATGGCAAAACTCACATAGAGCTGTTGACGTCAAAGTCTGAAGTGCCATTTCAGTATTACTTTATAATGGAAAAAGCGCGTGAAGGCTGAGCTAACGTAAGTCCTTCCCGGCAAAGTTAAGTCCTTCTCTCATGACTTTACTTCCCAATATCAAGTAATGTTATACGAGTGTGATGAGGTTGGCCAAATTGCCACGGTGAGGCCAATGTAACAATCGCACCAACACGACGTGGTTTACTCTCAGAGTCTCATTCAGGTTGTAGTTTTCTCACTGTGACACACCTCACAGATTAGTTTAATAACTCCTATGTGGAAAATTAGTCCCATAACCTCTCAAGGCCTTTTAAAAGATGGATGCCGAGTGGTAAAATGCAGCTGGGAGCCTTTTGATTAAGTCAACCATGCTTTAATTAGGGCAAATCCCACTTACCTCACTAGAGTCAAATGGTCTACTACCATGGGATAGAGTGCAAGAGAAGTTGCTGAAATGTCGCTTTGTGTTTGATGGCTTTATAGTAATTGTAATTAAAGGTAATAAGTCCACTTGTTCTGCGAGGAAACATTCTTACACAAGTTTGTACTTGAGGACTGTGTATGCTGTATATTGTTCATATTGCATAAACAATATAAACCACCATTTTCTGAATGCTCTTGACTTTCCTTAACTTTTCGCTTTTATCAATTAAAAAAAAAAAAGACCATTTGGGAGAATCTTCCTTTCATTACAAGTAATGTGTCTCATGTGTTGTTGCTTTTTCCTTTACCGGCAGGCTTACTGAACCTGGAGCAGCTCCTTAGGCAGTTCCTCATCTCCAAGGAGACTTTGTCGGTGCGCATGCTTGACGACAGCAACGACCCGACCCCGCTCCTGAAAGAGATACGAGATGACAAGACTGCCACTATCATAGTCGATGCCAACGCCACCATGTCACATATCATTTTGGAACGGGTTAGTATGGCTCACATTATAGCTGTTTTACTTATGCACGGATAAGTTGTCTTTATTTCATGTGCTCCTTGGCTTTGTATCGACAGAGAATTCCCAAGCTCCACTTTTATTTAACTCTCATACATCTCCAACTGCAGAAGTAGCTAAAAAATGCCGACGGCAAGAAGCTAAAAATAATTGAATATAGGGAGAATGATTTCTATAACTGGAAGAAGAAGTTGGTTAGTTCTGAGTTTTGACCTGTAAATATACAGGTTGTATTCACCGCACAAATAATTCGCAGAACATATGGAATGTGAAATATCTTTTTCATCCAGAATCCATTTGCTGTTTTGAATCAGAAGGCAGATTACTGGAATTGATGCACTTTTGGCAGAGAGAAGAGCTTTTAAAAGACAGGGTTACAGAGTCTAAAGTCTACTCCAAAATAAAAGGCCAAGGAATTGAGGCAATCTTGTCAAACAAACCTGTTACATCAAATTATATGGATGAGAGCAATAAATCAAGTTGTATTCCAATGATTCATCTCCCATTCTGCACAGTTAAGTGGATCAGTGTGAGTAAGGACAGACCCGTAAAATGAAGGAGCCCCTTTTGTCTACTTTCTAATAGTGCATGTTGTGGATTAAAGCTAGAAATCAGTGAAGCAAATCAAGTCGACTGATTATTTCATGTCCTCCTTATCTATTGTGAATCTTTTGATCCGTTCTCCCAAAACACCTTTTACACAGAAATATAACTATAAATGCACTATGCAAGGCTGTAATATTCATTATGTGAAGTAAAACCTCATCAGGAACTTTAGTTAGCACTATATCTGTCGGTAGCATGAAATATGAGCCGTATGTGTTTGCTCCGCTAATGTGCCGTATGAATAATAAGCGTCTCTGAACATTATTAAAACCTTGAATCCAACATAATGCTTCTCCTGATTGGAGACTTATGTTTGTAAAGAGCCTTGATGGCATCAATACAGCAGAGAGAAAGCGAGGGTGTCGGGCAGCAGCATATGGCGTCTTGGTAATTATTACACACCTCATTATTTCGAGGAGACGACGGATGGATGGCTAGAGTGGAGGTGACAATAGCTGGAGACTGAGGGGCGTTGGGAGGTGGGGGGATGTTTCTCTTCCTTCTCCCTCATTCTCTCTGTTATTGTCTCACTCTCTCACTCGCAGTGGTCTCAATCTCTCACCTTCAGGCGGCCATCAGTGGTCATTCAGTCACCATGGCAACCCTGGGCCACAGAGCGGCGGGAGCCCACAGTGGGACGTCTTTCTTCCTCTGTTCCCCTTCTCCCTCCGTCTGTCTCTTCAGTCGGAATATGGAGTTGCTGTCTTTTTTGCGCTCTCTGTTCTCTGCTGCGGAGAAGACGATTCCACTTTGTTTCCTCACACCTCCCTCCTCGCGTGGCCTTGTGCACCCTTCCATCTCTCGCTCTTTTGTCTCCTTTATGTGTCGCGCTGTCGGTCTCTCTCTTTGTCATGACACGATCTGCAGCAGGGTGGTTGGAAAGTTGTCAGTCCCGCCTCTCATGTGGAGTGTCTAGTTGCCAAGCATATCAAAGCTGTGCGCCGGCATATACGACATTCTAAAATGATGATAAGAGGGCCCATCTTGTCTAAAGGGAGAGAATCGTCTGTTGTCGTGCAAGACACCCCCCATTATTTGTCTGTTTACATCTTACATCAAACCCTCATCAGACAAAGGTCTCACTCTCTGAGGTTTTAGCATTCAGAGGGGTTTAGGTCAGCAGTGTTAGCATTCTGAATGTAATCTCATGCAGTCAGCCCTCCACTGTTGTGCACATACAGAACCAGAGTGGGACAGATAGTGAGCCCAGTTTATGGGGGCAGTGCAAACCATGTGCACTCTGACCAAAGCAGCAGTAGAACAACAAGGAGATCAAAAAGTGGGACAAAAATAAGTCAAGGAAGCTTATTTTAAGAGCAGTGAAAGGAAACCAAAAGTATATTTTTCTTGTTTTGGTTACATTGTGTCTTCTGAATGAAATGTGGACGGGAACCAAAGGGTATTAAGTTATAATGGCAGTTTCTGTTTGGTAAGGTATTAAAGGTGCAGTGTGTAAAATGTAGCAACAAAGCTCCAAAGAATAGGGGGCAGTATTTCACTACTGGGTCCACACAATCTCAGTTTACAGTCATCCTACTAACTAATACAGGGCAAGAAAACGCAATATTCAACCCAACTGCCAAAACTCAGAGATAACATCGCTATCTTATAATCTTCCTGTGTGGAGCCGGCCTAAAGTTTACTCCATCTGTGTCTTTGTGACACTGATCCGGGGATGTATGATCCGTGTAAACTTTAGTTTGTTCATTGGATTAAATCTTATTCAGCCAGCACAAACCCCAATGCCGGGAGGCACAGCGGTCTAAGTGCTGGGTCTTACCTGAGTAACGGCAGCCACAGAAAGTTTGCTGATCCGGCAGGGAATCAGGGCTGTCCCCCATGAACAGACCCCTGGTGCTGAGGTTTTCCCTGGCTGAATTCAAGCTAACAGCTAACTTAAGGTCCGTCTCTCACACGTGTGTCCACACTGTAACCTTTTCACGTTGTATTGATAATGTTACATAGTTTTTACGTTTTAAACTAAAATTCTTTTGAAATATTACATGAAGGTACTGGTAAAGACGAAAATGCTCAACCACCTTGCGCCATTAGCACACTTTTCTTACAGTGTCGTAACCCCAAGATTAACGAATAACTTTCCTGAAGCATAATAATTACCTTTCATAGACATCGTGCTCGTAGTTTCAGAGTAATCGCATGATAAATGGACTGAAGAGGACAAACGTTATGAAGACATCATGTGAGGTCACTCAGAGTTTAATAATGAAAGATGTAGTTGGATGTTTTTGCTGTATAAGTGATGCCTTTCTACTTCCTACTGTTTTATTATTTATGCTCCTTCAGAACACTTAAGCAGAATATTCAACAACTGAGTGACATATACTCCTAACGGCACACAGAAAGCCACACAGAGGTTACACTTTTTGCAGATATGACAGCTTAATATCTGTTATTAAACTCTTTCTGGTGCTACACAACTTTCAGAATAATATTAGTGTGAAAGCTATTTATGATGGAGATATGTAAATTTCCGTGCAGCCAGGTGTGGAAAACATAATCTCTGAGTAGCATCTTAAAAGGGACATTTGGGTTAATTCATGTTCAGGAAAAATTTCACTCAGATGCTTTTTGTAAAAACTTCTTGCTTTAATATATACTCTCCTTGACATTTATTGGTTTTAATCATAATGTGGATCACAGCGTGATTAAACAGAAGCCTATGGCGTAGCTCGATGATTTTCTTTTTTGCTAATGACTTTGATGAAATGAAACTATGAAAAGTTCACCCTGTCCTTCACAACTGCTCCTCACTGTGACTTTGATTTAATCAAATTGTAAGACGTATCGAGCAGCATACTAATGCATCTCAGAAATTAATTGCTCCATTGAGTGCCATCGTCAGATAAGAGTGTATCTTATCAAGATGTGGGTTTGATCTGTCTGCTGCAGAGTGGAGCTCGCGACACTGAATCACTGACCTCTCAACTTCACTCCCCGCCCTTTTATTCTGGACTCGCTTTCGTTTTTGTTTTGTTCTCCCCCTCCCTCCTCCGTTTCACCTTTTTTACACCTTCTTTCTCTTCCATTTTTTATTTATCTGTCCCCTCCTGTCCCTCTTGTCTTTTGTTCTGCAGGCATCAGAGCTGGGGATGCTGTCAGTCTACTACACCTACATCTTCACCTCTCTGGTAAGGAATCGGGGAATGGTGTGGGTATTTAGAGGCAATACAGATTTCACACCTGCAAGAGCCCATCAGTAGTCCAATGCTGTGCTCCTGTAGTGTATTAAAGTAGTACACTTTAATTGGTGCTCTTCACTTGAATGAATGATTGAATGGATAGAGTTAAGCAGATAGGAGCTATGACAGAGGAATTAAAGCATAGCTGATTTTCTCCCTCACTGCGTGTGACTGCAAAGTAGACGCATACCGGCCATACTCGCTACCCGTTTGCCCTTCTGGACCAAACACATACATAATAATGATTATTATAATCGCAGAGCACTACTGTTGTTATTGCGGTAGCTTGTTCCTCGTAGTTCCCATTTAATGAGCGACGAAGCCGTCGCCCTCATTGTCAACGATCATTTCTATCCATGAATGAGTTGAGGACGAGCTCCACACATCCTTCCTCTCCACCATTCTTCCTTTCTGCATTTCTTTCTGTTTGAATGAACTCAACATACATTTTGTAAAATTATTTTTGCAGGTGATTTACTCACCAGTTGATTTACTCACCAGGTGCTTTGCATGTCTGCGTGCAAACGAAGCTCATACTCTATAACATGTTGCTCTTAATTGGTTCTTGTTTGCTCTTGCAACTGTTAGCTTTGAACCCTTGCAATGTGGATTAACACGTAGTCTTAGAAAAAAAGCAGTTCTATAATGCCCATGAACTGTTGGATGAAATCACATTGCATTACAGTGCACAGTAGTTTAAAGCTACTTGTTAACCGTGGTTAATTAAACTTAATGTAGCTTTGTGAGTGATACTTCATACTGCATGTTACATGTGATTTACAATGGCAATGCTTTCAAAAGAGGTGACAGAAGTTGGTTGAATAAATGCAACATTATTAGTATATTTAGTAAGTGAATAGTGATTTACATATTATTTTGTACTGTGTATGATGCAGATTGGGGACAGAACAGTTTGAAATGAGTCACTGCCACCTGAAATGTGCACATTCATGCTGGAAATTAAAGGGAATGACCCCAAATTTGAGAGTAATAGTGTTTTGTCACATAGAGGCGAAGGGATTGGTTAGATCATAAAGATAGTGGCTTGGAGAAAATTTGATGCAATAGTAAACTTACCACATAGCTGCTCCCTAATGGAAATTAATGAGGTTCGAAACACTTTGCTCTAATGGCGCTGTGGAGATGATTCATATCTAGCTGATGTATGACTCATTAAGAGTGGGCTACATTCATGTTTTCCTCCACAGCCCTTGACATAGTCGCTTCTGCTATTGCATCTCTTTTTTTTCCTCTTTCTTTAACCTTCTTGTCTTTGCTTTTCCTTTTCAACAAAATAAGCTCCCTCATCACTCTGCTCTGGTGTCTGCTGGAGGGCACAGCATAGGACACAGATTCACTGTAGATACTAGATGATGACCCAACCTACATCCCTCCTCCTGCTACCATCACCACCATTTTCTTAAAATCCTACCATTGCTCAGTGACGGCACCGATAACATCTTCAGCTAACGTCATTAAAATGGTCAGCAGTGCGCCCCTGGTAGCCTGGGACTTAATGCAGAAGCTGTGAGTGAAAAACATAGAAGCGCTGCTGTCTCCTTAGTTGTCGTAATAAGTGATTCATCCTATTTATTGTGTTTTTAAATGGCTCTGTTGCTTGTGCATTATGCCTACCACGCACACACATATGCATTGAATACACACGGACACAAAAGAGGGTTATTATTATTTGATCTCATAGTTCAGTCAATTTTACACCCATTATCAAGACTCACTGTGATAGTACATCTCTGTAAATGGCAATAATTGGATAATTGGATGCTTGGGTTACTTTTTCAAACTCTCCTTCAAGTGCACTTTGCCATTTCATGAGACTGTCCTGTCCAGAAAAATGACAGCATCTGCCATTTGTTCAAAGACCTTGAAATCAACTTGGAACATTCAGTGCCAAAGCACGACGTAATGTGCTGTTTCCCTAGCGCCGTAAAGAGGTTCACATTCCAGTCAAAATGATTTTCCTTCATCTATGACTGTGCTCTTTCCATAACCTTCACCAGTTGACCGATCCCTAACATACCTTAACCTTAGGTCGCCCACTTGGTTACGCCAGTCAAGCCTTGGTTACATTGTAATAGGGCGCATATGGGATTTACTCCGACAACTTGGGTAGATTTACCACAGTATTTACCTGATTTACATGGAAATACAGAAACAGCTAGGTGCGTGTGCTGCATCTCTGAAGCATTCAAATTTGAAAGGATGCTGCAAACTCACCATTGTCACTTCAAGGTGTTTGTCATTGTCAGTGCTTTGTGTTGAAATCATAGGAATAAACGGCTTAGTATCAAAATGTGCGTTGATTTAAAAATGAACAAGGTCCGTTACTACAGTATTCTACCCTGTCATGTAACACTGTTAGGACATTGACTAAATTGAAATTTGAATAATTAAATTCTTCTTCTTTTGGGTACCAAAAGTTAAAATGCAGATAATACATTTAGTATCTGAATCATACTGTTTTTTATCTATGATAAAATAGCCATTATTTAAAGGAAAGAAGAAAAACATCAATATAGCGGTGACCCCCAATAGTCGATGATTCGATTTAAGGAGCCTGATTCGACTGCCGATAGTCGACAGTCAAATCGTCGCAGTGGCTGAAAAAAAAAGGATCATTCCATATGGAGTTGCCTAATGTCTGATTTTGCATAGATTTGCTTGGTTTCTCTAAAGAAATCCTGATACTGTATTCAGTGTATTTTGGTAAACATATCAGCCTATTAATATTGTCAGCAACATTTTGAAAATAACTCATTTGCTTTCAACCAATGTCCTTAGTGTGTATGAATGAATCAACATGTCGACAAAGTTGCACTATCCACATTTGCCGGACCATTAGTGCAACATTTTGGCAATAGCCTCAGAAAGGCTGATTAAAGAAATACATTTTTTAATCAGAGCATCCACATGAACACAAGCAGAGCACATTATGTTTTAAATTTATGAAGGATTCTCTACAATTAGCAGAGCCACATAGAAACAGCTGTTTGCAGCTTGCGTCTCTCTCTGTCTCTCTCTCGTTGACTGTCGCTAGACATCCATGTCGTTCCTTCTTGCTTCTGTCTGTGGATTGCTACATTGGGGGGAAATTAGAATAAGGGCTGGAAAGCAAGTATGCTAGGAAACGGTAGGAAACGGTCGCTCTTTTTCAGTACTTTGGACAGCACCGCATCAAAATACACACCACCTGAAAAAGAGAAATGACAATGATGAAAGAGAGGACACTAATCTTTCTGTGTGTGTGTGTGTGTGTGTGTGTGTGTGTGTGTGTGTGTGTGTGT